ACAATATTCTGATGAATTTTCCTTTCTTCTAGGAGTTTTATGACGTCTGTCAGTCTTACTTTATCAAATGCTTGGGTAAGATCTATGAAACACATGAACTCCGGTTTGTTGAATTCATTAGCTTTTCTCTCCTTTTTTGAACACTGGGATTGTTATGCTGTCCTTCCATTCTGAAGGTACTTTTTGTAGATATAATATTTTATTGTAAAAATCTTTTAATTCATCCATGAGTGCATCCCCTCCATACTTGATCATTTCGTTCGTTATCTCGTCTATACCAGGTGATTTTCTGTTTTTTAGAGCGGTTGCCGTTTGTTTGATTTTCTCTATCGGTATCTGCCAAGTTGGTGGTGTTTCTTCATTTGTGGGTGTCTCCTTGGTCTCCGTGTTTTCCTCTTTATTAGGGTAGAGTTGTTCAAAGTGTTTTTCCCAGTCTTCAGTACTGATCTTTGAAATTTGGATATATTCGTTAACTGGTCTTTTTCTATTTCTTAGCATATTCCAGATTCTTTTCTGTCCTCCATATAGATCGTGTTCCTTCCATATCGGCAAAGAATTTTTCCCAATGCTGTCGTTTAATTGACTGGATTTCTGCATTGACCTGGTTTCTGACCGCTTTATATACCTCGTACGTAACTGTGTTCGATCGGTATTGCAGGTACGCTTTTCGTTTTTCAGCTGCTAAGTTCTTTACCTCTTGTTTAAACCAAGGTTTAGTGTTTCGTTTTCCGTTTCTGGTCTTAGTTCTTCTTTCAATATTATTGGATATAATTGCAGCAAAGCTTTCCAGGTTCCATGTCAAAACAGATTTAAGAATGTAGGCAGATTTAAAAATGTAGAAGAAGAAAGCAACATTTGTTAATGCAGGTGAAGAATTAAATACTTTATCCACCCCACAACTCACTCGCCCGGTAGCACCTTTTCAAATGAAAAATTTGATATCTGGATTGTGCGAGCTGGTCTTATCTCATGACCGTCTAATAGCCCCGACTTAACGCCTATTGATTATTTTCTCTGGAACTTTAGAATTCACCACTTTTCACCCCAACGTATGAGAAAACATGAGGTGCCACCTTCAAATGAAGTTAAATGTAATATTTATCTTCTTATTGTTACGACAGTAATAAATTGTAGAATGTAGATATAGGGGTAACAAGACGGACAATTTCGACGAATATTTCCTTCGTATGATAATCTGTCCGTTTGAAGTGTGCAATTATCGAAAAATTACAGCGGTAATTGCCCAGTGTGCAATTATCACTCAACGATAATTGCATTGTTTACAAAAAATATTTGACAGGTGTCTTTTCATGTTGAATTAGACATCAAATGTCTTCCTGACATACCAAATTATATTTAATAAACATAAGTAAGAAAATTAAAAGTGTAATAAAATATATTAGAAATAAAATTAATCCACATTAACTTTGTCTACTCAGGAAATATTTATAAGAATTACACTCGTGCATAAAAATAAACAGATAATTTTGCATTCGAGCTTGTTGTCTTGTAAAAACTGCATTCGTTTATTTTCACATTGAAACGAAAAAGCCCTCCTCCTTCGGAGTCGGGCTTTTTCGCCACAGTATGAAAATAAACTCATGCAGTTTTTAGACAACAAGCTTTCATGCAAAATTATCGGTAATTTTGAAGCACTTGTGCAATTACCCCCGATAATAACGTGTGTTTTGTTTTTGGACGGGTCTGGGCGGAACATTATGTTTAAGGCACGTTATTGTGCTGTTTCCAGTTTTCACTGTCCCTTTCATAAAAAAAACTCATTTTCTCAATCACACGATTAGTGTACTGCTGTACAACTTGAGGCGTTAAAGTGGCTTTGGCTGTTGAAAAAAGCGAAACTTTTCGTAATTTGGATTCGAGGAGAATTGTGAAAAACATTTTGACAACCTCAGAGTTCGCAGCTAGGTTTCCCCCCGTTTATGGCCCCCTTCGCCCCCTCTCTCGCAACGCGATGTGGCGGTGTCGGCACGCGACCAAAGATGCCCCCTTGACCGCGCGCCCCTCTGCCGCCCCGACGACGACGCTCACTCGACGCCTCATTGCCCAGAAAGTGACGCTGCCGAAAGGACGAAACTCGCGACGCCAGATAAATTACGCGTCGCGCGGATCTATCGTTACATTCGGCTCGAATCTTTTCCCCAGCTAACTGTTCGGAAATTGCGCCTTTTTTCCGGCTCAGTTGCATTCTGGATAGTCGTTCCAGATACTGGACGCAAATCGAAGTTGGAAAAGTTAGTTGATCTGGAGTTCGACAAAGTTTTTCGGTGCGGCTAAAAACGCCCCAGCTTTGGTAGAAACTTGGGAATATTTTTCAAACATTACGGACATAGTAACTGCTAAGGGTGAGTTTGCAGCTAGCGTGCTTTTACAAGCTTTTACGGGGCGAAATTGCTCAGCAACCGCCAATTTGGCTTGTTAATAGCTAGATTTTTACGGCATCGCTCGACTGCGCCCAAAATTTAACTGAAGCATTTATATTATCAATAATCAATGTGGCTATTTTTTATACCATCTTCATTTGCTTCATTTCGATGCTTTCGCTTCTCATTAGCATCAGCTTTTGACGATGACAGATTTATGCAGTAGTTTGCTCCAGTTTTCCTCAATTATTTAATTGCTTCTTTGCGTCGTCAACTGGATTAGAGTGCTAGGGATCCAAGCAAGTGCGTCTCATTCTCTCTGATCTGAACTTAATTGGGCTTTTAGTGCAGTCATTTCTTTCGTTGTTAAATATTTCATCATTTGCTTTTCATTTTTATACGTTCAATTACTGTTGAGGGTGATTACATTTAATCTGAGAGCAGATCGACTGGGTGGATTATGAATACATACACAGATTCCCTAGTAAATATGTAATATTTTGAGAACACTGCATTTTTATTATTACCCACTTACTTACAATTTTATTTCAATTCAATTTTTATTAAGTTTCGTTGTTAAATAATTCTACAAATGGGTTTACAGTTTTTATTCAGCTTTATACGTTCAATTGGTATTGATTGCGGTTGTTTTACGAAAAAAGCTGAGATTAGATAATCACACAAGAGTATGGATCAGTGCATGAATAAATAAATACTCTAGTAAAATATAATAAATTTGAATTTTTCCCACAGTCTTTATTTTTACGCTTTGCGATTGTGCAATTTTCTATCTATTAGATTGGAATACATGAAATTATCCGATTTTGCTTTTATCCGTGTGAATATTATATAAAGTTCTTAGCTCAAAGTTACAATTTAAAAACCAGGATTTTACGAACTTTTTGAGCGAATCTCAAAATGACGAATCTCTATTACTTCTACAGTGCTCAGAACCGATAACACTTCTAACTACGACGGTTTATAAAACTTTTCATAAATCATAATGAAATGAGAACGATTTTTATCAATTTGCAATGTTTTGCTTGGCTCACACTCAGCTATCTTTGGGTATTTTTTCAGGACTGAAAGTGCGTCTTTTCCAGCCAATTGTATTTTTAATTTTTTTAAATAATATTTAAAGTGTGTACAATTGGATATAATTTTCAAAGCGTGATCGTTTGACTTTAGCGAATTATCTGAAATTTTTTAATTAATATCAAGTTGAATATCAAGTAGCTCAAAAAAGTTTTTTATCCAAAATTCGATTAGTTATTGTAGATTTTTTAAAAGGCTCAGCAAATACAAATAATTTTAAAGTTTCCATATTCGTACATCTTAAAATAGTTGAATATTCAGCATGCTGATAAGATTTTCAGAAACGCATAATCCGTCTGTTAAAAGTTTTTGTATAAATTCGTTTTTATAAATTAAATCAGAATGTCTAAAAAACTTTTATATAATTGTTGGAACTGTTTTGGCTAAAATCAGTCATAAAACGCCAAATATTCGTGATAAAGTTATTTGTGAATCACGCGGCAAAAATTAAACTAGATATAATTATTTAGTCACAGCTTTACTGGGCCCAAGACTAGCTTTCGCTGGTATTTTAAAAGATTCTTATTGCTTCTAATAGTACTAACGGGCTATTTTTACCAATATCCAGATATCCAGTTCTGTAGAGCTTCTACTCAACTAAATCTCTCAATTTTTTCACGTATTTGCATTATTAGCACACAATGTATCGATTGCATTTAGTTCACATTGGGTTTTTAATTGATGTAAATAATAAACGCCATCAATAAATTTGAAAAATGAAAACAAGCTGAAATATATCATATAGTCAAACAATTATTATTGAAATATTGTATAAAAGTAACATGGCTATAAAATACAGAAGAATTACTAATAAGAAGTATAAACACAATAAAAACTATACGTTATTGTTTGCAACCAAGTGGCTAGCGCTTTAGGAACATGAAATAAACAGTGAAATTTCAGAAAGTCTAATTAAAACTGAAATATATAGGTACAATATAAAATACATGAGGAAATTATCTTATTAATTTATTTGGTTGAAAACGGACTGCTCTCGGATGCTTTGGATGCTGCGAAACTACTTTTGTACAGTTTCACTCTACAAAAGTCTACTCTTTTTCCAAAAATGTTATTTTCTTTAAAAAAATCTTAAACTATTTCAACAGAAATCCATTCAAACAAGAACTTAGTTTCTCACCCTTCGCTTAATATGCAATATGTTATTAATATGCAATAAGATTTTCGTTACTTGTAATTCGTTCTAAGTGATTTGCAATCGGTGAACAAAATCAGTAGATCTTCTTATTTGATATTGATCAGTATTACTTTACTTTTTACTTTATGAATAAACAAAGCTAAAAATCCCGTTTAAGTTCAGTTGTGTGAAAAACGAACAAAAACAAACAGTTTCAAGCGTCTCGACATCTATGAAAACTCAACAGTCACCTAAAGACACTGTTTAAAGTTGAAAAATAAAGTATTACATTTCACATTCACCCCCCGTTACCTTTGAATGCGCATTGTTCAACATATTTCTAAAAATGTATATTCCTAAATTTCGAAGTTAGATCGGTTCAAATTAGTTCTATTCGAGGTTGATTTCGATGTAAATGCACGCATTCGATCGCGTAAATTCCAAGCCCGCGAGAATATTAACTTCTTAAAATGATGACCAAAACCCCTTAAGTTTTATCTTATAACCGGCATTGAATCGAACTAGAGAGTCCAGAGACGATTGATTGTAACGCCAGTTTAAAAATATTGCATTTTGCCTGTAACATTTTGCATTTGTGTTCTGTTTTGTGCCTTTCAAGAAGATTCAGTTGTTTTTTTACATATGATTACATTCAGATTTTTTTACATATGAAATCGAAACCAGCCTTGGTTGGAACGAATTGTTCGAACCGCTGAAAATACTGGAAAAGAAAGTGGCAATAGATCTAAGACTAATTTTAACAAAATAAAGAAGAGAGATTGAAAATCGAAAAAAATTGAGATTTGTGTGAGAATGGGAAAAAGTTTTCCAATGCTTCAACCTGATAGAGTGACGTGTGGAAATTAATGAACTTTGTAGTAAGTCGAATTTATACGAGGAAAACCGAACATTGACTAATTTATAATAAACAAATTGCAGATAGACGATGTTGTCAATGAAAATGAACGAATGAATACTAGTAAATGACATGAAATTGTTTTTGGACGTTTCGAATTAAGCTAATAACAATTGTAAATACCAAAATTTGTTTTTACGTTGTCCTGCAGGTGTTTTATTTTATTATCACTTTATAAGCGATCAATAAATCATTTTAAATGCTTTGTCTTCATTTTTTTAACTTTAACTTTTTTCGCAAATATTAACAAATTTATTTATTTTGTATTAGTATTACTTCAGTATTTTGCTTAAAAGAATATTATCACCCTGTAAATTGGAAGCTAAGCGTGTGTGGAATATGCTCTATAACCAGCATATGGTGAGAATTATTTGTTGCATAATTTCCAGCCAGAAATACATCGATTTAACAAAAAACCTGTATATTAATTAACGAATAAATTTCTAAATATCTATTTACAGTATTTCTTAAAATTACTTTAAAATGACCAATAAATTTAATGTACGGAGCTCTTGATTGAACTTTGGCCACGCTGTTTTAACATCGAATTTCAAAATTATAGAAAAATATTCAAAACAAAAGTTGTAGATATTAACATCTAGTTTATTTTAAGATAGTAACAATTGATACAGGGTGTCTCAAATTCAATTAACAGACCAAACTTACCTTTTTTAAACGGAATGCCGTACTTTTTATTGCATATTCGAAATATTCGTAAAATTCTAGGCCCATTTCGTATAAACGTTCTATATTAATTCTCAACTATTTTTAAGTTAATAATCAAAATTTATTGTTTTTAGTTTTATTAGTTTTGCCAGCCCGTTTTAACATCTAATTTGAAATTTAGAAAAAAATATTAAATACAAAAGTTTTAGATCTTAACGTCTAGTTTATTGTATGATAATACCATTTGATACAGGGTGTCTCAAACTCAAGTGGCGGTACAAACTTACATTTTTTTAAATAAAGATCGCGCACTTTTTATTTCATATTCGAACTATACGCAAAATTCCAGTCCTCTTAAATATAATCATTTAAACTATAATAACCATTGAAACTTTCGGGCATTCCATTTATAAAAATTTGAGTTTGGTCAGGCACTTGAATTTGAGACACCCTGTAGCAATTGTTATTATCTTAAAATGAACTAGATGTGAATATCTACAACTTTTGAATATAATAATTTGCTCTAAATTTCAAATCAGCTGTAAAATCGGGGTGGCCAAGTTCGATCAATATTGATAATTAACTCAAAAACAGTTGAAAATCACTATAGAACATTTATATCGAATGGGCCAAAAATTTTAGGAATAGCTCGAATATGCAATAAAAAGTACGGCCTTCCATTTAAAAAATGCTAGGTTTGGTCTGTCACTTGAATTTAAAACACCCTGTATCAATTGATGCTATCTTAAAATAAACTAGACATTAATATCTACAGCTTTTGTATTTAACATTTTTCTCTAGTTTTCAAGTTAGATGTTCAAATGGAGTGGTTCCAAGTGGTTCCAAAGTTTACTCAATAACCCTGTACAGTTGCTGTTGCATGTACCAAACAATCCGTATATCCTCGAGTGTATAGCAGTAGATTTGTTGTGCTTTTCTTCAATGAATTATCGCGGAAACCGCGTACAATTCTATGAAATATAACAATATTTTATTTTTAAGGCAGAGAGAAAATTGACTGAATGTTTTTGATATTGTAATACAAAATGAATGATTTATTTAATGAAAATTTAAAATTTTATTAAAGAACCAAACATACATGAAAGTTTTAAAAAAATTAAAAATATAAATAGTAATAAAAAAAATAGAAAATAAAAAGCTGCGTAATAATGGTTACTAACCAGTTGAATATAAAACATTTAGACGGAATACTGATACTTCTGAATAATCGGAAATTAAAACCCACTTTTACCTATGTAACATGTTAATCATAGAACAGGGCTTATGTTAATTACGAAAATTGTTTGGCAAGACTATTATTTTTTTGTATTTTTTTGCAGACGACAGTTCTGCTGACGTCCATGACCCAATAATGACAGCGAAAGCCAAACGGCTCGCAGGTGCTGAACCAATCCGAAGAGCCAACAAACCATTGATGGAGAAACGACGCAGAGCCAGAATCAACCAGAGCTTGGCAGCCCTAAAAACATTAATTTTGGATTCGGCGAAAGCCGACAATACGAAGCATTCGAAGTTGGAAAAGGCCGATATTCTCGAGCTGACCGTTCGCCATTTCCAGAGGCACCGAAGTCTGGATGTGAAGGGTATTAATCAGTACAAAGCGGGATACGCCGATTGTGTTCGGGAGGTGCAGAGGTATTTGGAAACTCCCGATGCCCAAACCATGACTGTAATTGAGTCGGGAGTTAGGCAACGATTGCTGAGACATTTGGATAATTGCGTTTCCGAAGTGGATGTCGATTTGAAGCAGGCGATCACACTCGCTCCTCCTGTGGAAGAGCGGCTGCAACATCCAGACTCATCTACTTTAGAGGAGGTGAACAACAACACCAATAGCCAACCCCCAAAGGTGGAAGTGAAAGCAGAAGACCCGAAAACTATCAAGAATTACGATGGAAATTTCGTGCTACTTCTTCCGGAGCATTATGTACAGCTGGCTAATGCACTTGGCGTCAATCTCAGACAAACCGGTGATGGATCTACAAGTCCGGGTCCTTCAGGGGAAAAAAGTGCTGCCAGTGAAGAAGTGAAGGTGAAAGTTGAGAAGCCTCTGGATTACAGCAAGTCGAATGAACAAGTTGAAAGCATGTGGAGGCCGTGGTAAACACAGTTGCTCTCGAGAACTTTATCGTCATACCCATAGCTGATTTTGATGTTCAAACAAAACCCCTAGTCATATTCATGTAGTAGTCGGAGATATTATGCCTTGGTTGTGAAACAATTTCGGGAAATGACTTCAATTCATGAATTCATCACTTATATAATTCAGTTCGCGTAGCTTATCATAAATGGAAGAGCGAAATATTTGTTCAGTTTTCAGTGCAATATTGAGTTTTTCAGTAGTGGTAGGTACATAGTATGTGATAACCTATAATTAGTATTCTGTTAAGTTTATTTAATTTTTTTCTACTTTAATATACCTATAGACCACCGATTGATAATCATTTAGTTCTTCCGCATCATACAAGGCACACAATTTGTAAATATATACATACATATAAAGCTATTGTAAATACATTTCAATAGAGAAGTTATATAACTGTAAATGATCTAAATTGATGTCGCCACATTAAATGGGATTTGTTAGAGAGTTTTATTGTTGATTTTTAAATAGACTTCAATATTAGTAGACAGTGTTGTGTTTGATCTTATTTAACCTTTCAGCCCAATGACTACGACTATTATGACAAGTACTGGATTGCGTTTTGAAGACTTATTTATTTTTCTTTGCTAAGAGCATGACTTTGTACTAAAAGAGGATCAACTCGGGTCGCTAAGCTTCTAAAAAATTATAAAAAGTGCCGCATTATCTATACAAATTTTAAGTTTACGTCGTTTAGAAAAAAACTGAGCAAATCAGCAACTTTCCAAAGGTTCAAAATCAGTTTACGCTTCTCTTTGCAAATTAGGAATATCTAATACAGGCAAATGGTGGCAAAACAGTTCTCGAGGCGTTCTATTGTAAAGCGATGCCTCTATCCTTTTAAAGGACAGAAATTAGTGATGAGAAGGATTTTTGAGGCTCTAACGCAACGGTTCTAGTGGTTATGCTTAAACTGCTATTTTTGTTGAGATGCGCCTTTGAGTTGTTGCCGCTCTCAAATCATAAAATTTAAAAAGCAAAAGTCGAAATATACTGATGGGTGAATAAGTAAGAAAAATATGAAACATTTAATTTTAAAGTGCAGAAAGAGAAGGGAATCTATATGGCTGTATAAAGGGTGATTCAAAATTAGCGTCATTCCTCTGGACGTGTTGTCTGGCGCTGTTATAGGAGTACAGGAAAAGTAGTAAAAGAAATTAATTGTTATTAAAAACTGAGAAATTTGCAAAAAACTATATCAGAAATACGGCAACAATGTTTTTCAAGGTAGTCTGCCTAATTAACATTGAACCTGTGGCTTCGTAATTATTTAAAACTCCGGTAACCATGGAATTATACAGACTGACAATAAGATAAACAAGGATAAACGGTAAACTCAACAAGATTTGTTAATGAAATGTCAACCTGTTCTCATAACCTCCAATATTGGTGTTTAAAAATAAACCATACAACACCAAACATTTGAATGGTTAACTCCAAACAAGCTAGTACCTGTGTAATCTCCTTATTATCCACTCTTCTCAAGCAGCTTGTCGTATTTAGTTAATTAACTCCTGCTCCATTTGTATCTCCTTGTGCTGTGTGTATTCTGCTATGTTACTGTAGAATTTCCCCTGAACTAAGCGCATATCCGCAAATTCGTGAAAGGAAATTCAAAGTAAATCACAGTTTGACAAATTATTATGATTGACAAGGACTATCCACCTGTAACTATCTGTTAATGACAAAAAACATCAATGCCGCTGTGCCTTTTTATCAAAAATTTTCGTAATTTAAAGCAAAGATCGTAATTTTCCTTTTTGAATGCCTAAGTATTCCAATATGCTACCAATTAAACATGGAACAATTTCAAAATAATGCTTAATAACAAAGTTGAAATTCGATCTTCAACTGTT